GTTAATTCGTATAGATTACGGACGAATATCACAGCAGTGATTAAATAAAATTAGTGATTTTCGTGGGATATTGGGATAGTGAGTCGGTGATTCTAATTACGTGCATTAAAACTACGAAAGTGAGATGAATATTTTCTTCCAAAAATCAATCTATTTGTACATGTATACGATACGTTATACGATACGTTAACTGAATAATTGATAATTGCGAAAATTACTCGAAACGTATTAAATTCTCGACACATATGTCCGTTGTTTTTACGACTGTTGTACATCGATGTACAACATATACGAGTGCAAATTCGATTTCTTTATCATTTGTGCAACGTGTTACGCCATTACATTTGTGGAAAAAGTGGCGCCAAACTAATGTCGCGATAGTGAAATCAAAATGTCCGTTCTAACGATAATTAAAACATAATTTTTCAAATGTAATGAAAATTTAATGGAAATATGTTCGAGTCATCAAATATGTTGCCGGTCATCAATTTTTGTCAGATTGCTCGAAAAGATAAAAGCTTTAACCAACAACCTTATCTAACGACATGACAAATAAACAAAGAGACAAATTACAGTAGTAAAATCGAGTTCCGATAATAATTGCGATAATTGGAAACGATCGTTCATATAATCGTCAATATATCAAGGACTGTGGGACTTGAATCGATGGACTGAATTTTATCCCAATGTTCCCTTAACTGTATCCAAACGACAAAGAAGAACAAACTCGACGACGTCGAGGGTACGAGGCAAGAAACAAACTCCGCGTTCCCGACGTTCTGCACCGGTACCATTACCATTACCATTACCATTCCAGGTCTCCTTCCCGTTCTTTCACCGACCAGCTGGTAAACAGTGTTTCCAAGCCGACCGGGTAAATCAAGGAATCGTTCGTCTTCCGATTACCGCCCGTTTTTCCCACCTGGCTTACTTACCTTTTTTTCACCATCTTCCCGCTTCGATCTTCGTTTCGTTGGCCACACGAACGCGCCATACCGCGATCCACTCCTCGCCGGAGACAATTTCTTCGTCGCTTTTCAGCTTTCTCCTTACGGGAATTTGCCGGGGAATAATGGTGAGTAACTGTACAGACCAAGCGGACCAACCGCGTATCGGTATAAACAAAATTAAATATCTGACTTTCTAATTAACGACCTGTCGACGGGACAATGATGCCTGTGTAATTTCGTAATTTTAAACTGATAGCTTCTGACGAATCTCGCGAAAGTCTTTTGTTCGCGTTCGCGATTGTTTCGTTTCGAAAAATTCACTCTCCCCGAACGAAATGAACGCTCGTTTAAAACGAAGAGAGGTAAAAAAAGAGAAGAAAAAACGATTCGGTTAGCTCGTTCCCATTCGGTTAATCGGCCATCCGTAATTAACGAGTTCGCGAGCCAATAGGAAGAGGGGAAAGATGGAGTGTTAGAATCGTACGTGTAACCGTACACCGCCGTCAACGGCTAATAATTATATCGTTTTCTCTCTCTCTCGCTCTCGCGCGCGCGATCGATACGAATTTTGTTCATCCGTGAAAAAAAGGCGCGCGTGCTGACTTATTGAATTTCTCTCGTGTCTCGTGAACACGCGAGCACACCCGTTTCAGCCTGTAGCCAACAGGTTGCGCTGGAAGGAGAGTTGATCCTGGAACAAAGATCGGGTTTCCTGCAGGTCCACCGCCTGCGGGAATATCGTGTTCCTCGTCACGGGGGTGGTTCGTGCCGGAAACGGAAGCGAACCGTGCTTCCACAAAGACATTGCACTTCCTCCAATACGTATACGAAAAAAGTATATGCGTGTGATAAATATATGAGAATATTTCTCGAATAAATTGAAACTTGTGACAAACGTTGCGCAATGTTAATTTTGCTCGACAAGACGAGAGAGATCGGAAAGAGAGACGATGGGGAAATGCAGGAGGGAGGGGGAGGGAATGAAAAGTGAATGAAAAGAACACGCGTGTTACGATATCGTAACCGTCAAATTATTATTACTCTCTTACAATATCTGTCTCTTTTAATGTTTCTCCTTGAGCTATAAACCGTCATTTCGTGTTTGTACATGAAAATAGTCCAAAAAAGTCAAAAGCACTGTTCGACGCGCTTAGCTTCTTCTCTCTGTTCTCGCGCGATTTAATTACGGGTTTTTAAAAAATCTTCGCGTGCGCATTATCTAAGTATATTATCTTATACTCCCCCCCCTTCCCCTCTCTACACGTATTGTTTCTCATTTTTTTTTTTTTTTTATTTTATTCTCTTCTCTTCTCGGGTAGCAGTAGTAGTAGTAATAGTAATAGTAGTAGTAGTAATAGTAGTAGTAGTAGTAATAGTAGCAGTAGTAATATACCACTATCTATAAGTGTGGATTAGAATGAACACCGGCGGTGCTTTCGACGATCGCTCACGACAGGATCGGTAACAACGCACAATGAAGCGCGAGACATTGAGCTCTTTATTCTCTTCTTTCTTCTTCTTTTTTTTTTTTTTTTTTTTTTTTTTTTTCTTTTCTGTTTGGCAGTGCGAAGCGAATTCTCTTCGATTTCCCCCTTTCGATTGTTTCTTCCTTCCCCGTGTTTTTTTCTTTTTTTTTTTTTTTTTTTCTTTTCTGTTTGGCAGTGCGAAGCGAATTCTCTTCGATTTCCCCCTTTCGATTGTTTCTTCCTTCCCCGTGTTTTTTTCTTTTTTTTTTTTTTTTTTTTTTTTTTTTTTTTTTTTTTTTCAATCGTAGTCGGCTCATCCCGAAGCTGATGATGAAAAACAACGAAGTGGCAAATTGATCGTCCCCTCGCTACAACATCAACACTTTCGTCGTGCAAAATTTTATTAATTATCTCTCGTTTATCTCGGAAAAACCATTGTATACTCGTGTACATGCAATAACAATTAAGTATATCTTTCTTTTATTCTCTATACACTCCGCCTCGATCTATCTAATCCGATCGGAGACAATTTATTGCCACTTCATCGGAAAAATTAGGTCGTTCAAAGAAACGATTGGCTCGTCACAGATATATATATATATATATATACACACATACATATATATCCATATATAAGTAAAAAAAAGCGATCAGAGTAGGCTTTCCAGTTTTCAAAGGTTGAAGGGCAGTGTACGTCGATGGTGCCGATTCGATCATATCTCATCGTTGAAATTTTATACATATATATATATATATATATATACGCTTATTATCTCTTTCTCTTTTTTTTTATCTTTATCGTACGCGAATGATGAAGAAGAAAATGGCGGTTTGTTACATTACACGGTTTGAAACTGGAACAATAAGATATTACCATTATCTTTACGTGTTTGCACAAGAGGCAAATCTTTTGACCAAAACCAAAAGAGGGAAGAAACGCGCGGAGGGAACGTGTGGTCGTACGATCGATAATCGACACGAGGCTCGAACAATGGAAAATTTGACGAAAGGATAAACGCGTGTATCGTATACCGATCCATTGCGATCATATGTAGGAAACAATATCTCTCTCTTTCTCTCTCTCTCTCTCTCTCGAGGGGACACGATCATTCTCCTCGTCGGTTTCTACATAGAATTTATAATAAATGCAAACACTATATTCGTAATATCCTTAGTCGGTCGATATTTACATTGGTAAAACATGTATCAATTCTTCCCCTCCTCTGTAATCGTTCTAATACCGTATCCCAAGCTGCATCTTTTTCTTTTCTTCTTTTTTTTAATTATTATTATTATTATTATTATATAAAAAAGGCGCGCCCGTTTCGTAGTGATATAATAATTTACTTCGAGCGCGGTTTCTTCAAGAGAGAGCCGTGAAAACTAGAAAGCCGTGTATAACCGTATTCAATGTAGAAGTTTTATCGTCGTGTTTCTTTCGCGCGTCGTCCACGAACTTTAAATCCCCCCCCCCCTTGCTCGAAAAAAACTTCGTTCCAACCAAGCGAATGCAAACGGTTTCGAAATTCGAACGCGCTGAATTTCGATAATTTGGACAATTTTTAAAAAGAAAAATACGTTCGAGTCGATGATAATGATAATAAAACGCCGATGATAAGCGAATGATAAAATCACTTGTTCGAATTTCGAAACACGAATTACGTTCGAAGCTGATGGATTTAACCCTCGAGTACGCTTTATTCGCACGCTAGAACCAGCCGAAAGACATGCACGCGATTTATTTATTCGCGGTATATTGCTTCTTTTCCCTGCGCGTGATTGCGATTAAAAGAAATATGTTAATAACTGTTAGATCGAGACGCGAAAAAAAATGTGTAATGATGGATTCGCGTGGAAATCGTGCTCGAGAGTTTCAACATGGACGACAAACAGACTGGAATGAGAATTTCTAAGTTCAATTTCACAAACTTTTTACAAACTTATCCACTAGTTGCTTTAAATATGTTATATGCGAGTTTTGAGAGTCGAATCGATGGGAAAAGAAAAATTAATTACGTTATAACGAACATATATCCTCGTGTCTCCGAGCAATCGTCGCAAACCATCGATATTCTTTTTTTCCTTTGAAAAAAAAAAAGAGAAAGAAAAAAAAGCCAAAAAAAAAAAAGAAAAAAAACATTAGTATTTTTTTTTTTTTTATTCGAAAGAACCGTGGCATGTCGAACGCAAGACGAAAGGAAAAAAGTTATCCCGGACGATACATACGCGTCTCGTCCGCTTCTATATCAAGTTAACTCTCATAAGCTGTCGTTTGCAAAAATACGAAACCGTCGTCGTACCATCGTTCTTCTTTCTTTTCTCCTTTTCTCTGTCTCCTTCGCCTTCCTCTCGCTCTTTTTTTTCCGCCCATCGTTTCTTCGTTCTATATATATATATACATATATATATATGTATATGTACTATATATATATATATATATAGTTTCTTTTTTGTCCCGAACATCGCGACTCGTAATCGATCGTGTATCTTTATTTACACAGTGCTCTAAACGATCCATTATAATTATAACCGCGTGCTCTCTCTCACGCGCACACACGCACGCATCATATACATACACGATCACTCTCTCTCTCTCTCTCCCCCACAGTCTTTCGCAAACGTTTTACACATGTACAAAGTTGAAGAGAACCGAGAGAACAGCCACGATCGCGAACAATACCACATGCACACACTCTTCAAACGATACATCTGTTTTGAAACACAAGTTGAAACACGCCTCGTAACTGTTCCTCAGCCCGAGTCTCCCCTCTCGTTTTCAATCCTAACGAATATCCTAATTATTCCTTATGTAAAACTTTACAACGTTTCGTTAAAATATACATTTATTATTGTTTAATGCGTAAAATAACGCGGATACTTTACTAATGCTAACACGGGGGAAAAAAACACGATCGATACATATATATATATATATAAATATAAATATATATATATATGTATGTATGTATGTATATATAATAAAAAAAAAGAAATGGGAAAAAATGGTATTAAAAGGGAATAGTAGTGGGAAACGAAGAATAGTATTGCGAAAAAATACAATTTTTTTCTCCCCTCTTAGGAAAAGAAAGGGGGGAGAGAAAGAAAAAGGAAGAAAAATGTATTCACGAAAAATCAATATTTGAAACTGAACAATTTGATGTCCTTTTCTCTTTCCGTCTTTGTCTTTCTGTTGATGTTTTTTTTTTTATTTTTCAAATAAAACGGTCACCTCTGTACGACGAATAATCGACGAATTGATTAAAAGAAGAAAAAAAAAAACAAAAATACGAATGTTAGAATAAATCATATTGAAAGAACTGGTAATTTATTATTCACAGCATCGAATATCTCTACTCCGATTCCTTTTTTCTTTTTTTTTCTTTTTTTTCTTTTTTTTTTCTTTTTTTTTCCACTTACTTGAAATAGAATCACACAATAATTAGATCCTATACACTAAATGCGGACAGTCTTTTCCGAAGCGAACTATGATGATTATAATATATATGTGTATGTGTGTGTGTATGTGTATGTATATATATATATAATAATCTAAAAATGTCGAAAAATTGTTGGGGCAGGTCCGAAATAAGATCAGATTTTCATTTCGTTTCACATCGATCTAAATTTCCCGTCACGGTTCACTGCCACGAGATCAAGCGTGATCGAACATAACCGAAAGCGTTTCCCGCCGATCCACCCTCGCACAAAAACAAACGTACAATTACATATCTAAATATCGTAATCGAGTAAACTTAATAATTTCTATCTAAACAACGTTGCGAAAACGTTCTAAACCTAATCGATAATTCGATTATATCTCTCTAAATACGACTAAACACGACACGACGCGTCCCCCCTCCCCCCCCCTTGCGTTAACACGCATCGTATCAATGCTTTTGAAATAATTCTACGAGAGAGAAAG